CTGTCTTTGTCTCCATCTATCTTTTTGGATATCTATCTACTTGCATATCTATCTATCTATCTCCTCCCCTTTTTTTCTCCCTCCCTCTCCTCCCCCCCCCTGCCAAACCTCCCATTCTTCCTCCTTCTCTCTCCGTCTTACCCTTTCTCTCTCTCTCATTCCCTCCCACTTTACCTACCAATCTATCTACCCCTTTCCACCTCTCCCACTCCCTCCCTTTCGACCAATCTATCTGAACTCCCCCTTTCCCCCTTTTTCCCTTCCCACCTGTTTGTATGTGCACGCCTGTCTGCAGCTGTCTCTCTCTCATAAGTGCAACCAGCAAAAGGGCGAGTGAGTGAAATAACAAGTCCATGTTGATGTGAGAATGTGTATACAAAACCCAGACTGCAGTTTACACAGCGACGCCGAACATGATATTCGAGAAACCGGTGACTGGGTCTGAGTTAAATTAAGTACTGGATTGCTGGGGAGTGGATTTCGTTAATATATAGGCCTAGGTGAGAAGTCGATTTCGTTGGTGATGATTATATCTGTTTGTCTGGCTGTCCGTTTGTCTATTCATCTACTAGAGGCTTCTGGGTATTTTTTATATATGATTGAACAGAAAAAAAAAAGTTAGAGTACGAATATAAAATTTTGCCGAAAAAGTAATCTCTGTTTGTAGTACAGAAAAATATTAATCTGATTGACTAAATATTCAATGCCTACTGTTCTTGCACGGAACGTACTAACCCGTAAACGCAAATATGATAAAATCAAACGATAAATACAGTTCTGGCGTAGGCATAATCACACGAAACTTAAAAATAACAGCATCTAAGACTGAAAATGACATACCGTACTATACTAGCAGATACGAAATAAAGATATTTGCAGTCAATCTAACAATTTAACAATTACCACAAAGACTAAAAAAATAAATAAATAAATAAATAAAATAATAAAAAAAAACTTATTCCAAACTTACTTTATATACTACATAATCTTTTCGCTTCCTATGTAAATCACATGAATTAGTAACACTGACACCAATAAAACTGTGATTCGAAATGTTGAATTAGTTGTCAAGTAAATCGATAACAGTTTATTGATGGAGAAACTCTGAATACCCGTTTATTATTCAACACGAGTTGCTCTAACATCTATTTGATAGTGGATCTACACTATGCATCAAATAATAATACGACACGGTCATAAAACACATCGCTATATTGATAACAATGCATTTTGTTTACAGTAAAAAAACAAAAAACAAATAATAATAAAAAAAATGAATAAAAGATATATACATTAAGCCACGTGCCAGCCAAACTTTCATGGATTTATTTACAAACAATAACAGTAAAGTATGCCTGAGCAATAATCCATACCAAGTTGTTTATCCTGACTGTATTTCACGGGCTTACACGTCCCTCTCCCCCCCCCCCCCCCCTCTCCTCATCCCAGCCAAGCCCCGTTGGAACTTACCTGTATCACACGGGCGAAGTCTCCCAATGCCTTGCTTCAATAACAGCATCATATATGTATGACATATTGCATTATACATATATACATACATTTATACATACACACAAACACATATTATAAATGCACATTCATGTAAAAATACTCATACTTATTTATGCATTTGGTCATGCGGAGACATTCTTACGCACGTGCATAGGCCTATCTTGAGTGAGTTAGTGAGTGAGTGAGTGTGTGTGTGTGTGTGTGCGTGTGTGCGTGTGTGCATGTGTGCGTGCGCGCGCGCGCGCGCGCGTGTGTGTGTGTGTGTGTGTGTGTGTGTGTGTGTGTGTGTGTGTGTGTGTGTATGTATGTGTGTGTGTGTGTGTGTGTGTGTGTGTGTGTGTGTGTGTGTGTGTGCGTGTGTGTGTGCGTGTGCGTGTGCGTGTGCGTGTGCGTGCGCGTGCGTGTGCGTGTGTGTGTGTGTGTGTGTGTGTGTGTGTGTGTGTGTGTGCGTGTGTGTGTGTACATGTATGTATGAATATATACATACATAAATAAATATATATACACATATATGTATATATATAGATACAGCCATCCATATATATATAAAATATATACATACATACATATATATGTATGCATGTATGTATATATATATATATATATATATATATATATATATATATATATATATATATATATATATATATCGTTTACACACGTGACATTTTTAAATGACCTTACAAATATTTATAATCCTGACTTTAAAGGGCGTATTTGACTTCATTACAATATTAACGTCAATTACCCGCCACGATTTTAGTAAATACGCGCAAAGCCAGATTTCTTCAATACGAGGCAATATTTAACAAGATTACTTGTATAAAAAGGAATATTTAATTACTCCCAAGTCAAACAACTTCCCGGCTGGAACGCGCGCCCGAATAAAAGTGGCTTTAATGTGTGCACACCTCATAAAGTTATTTAACCGACCGACTCCTCTGAATTGGTCGGGAGATTCGAGAGTACTCCTGACACCTGGACTTACCTTTAATTTGAGATGATATCAATGGAAGCGGTTTTGCCCGTTGTCGCTGCTGGCGGGTTTTCGGCTTCCCTCGCGGTGGCTGGTAGTCAGTCAGTCGGTGAGGCCGAACTTGCGTCTGCGAGTTGGTGATTTTTCTTTTTTCTTTTGATTTAATGTTTGTTTTAGTGGTCTTCCGTTTTTTTATTCTTGGTGTCACTGTGTTCGGAGTATTTTGATTTATTGTCGTTGGTTCTTGTTGTTATATTTGCCACGTGTTTGCTGGTTTGTTGGTTTGTTTGTTGTTGTTTTTAAATCGTTATCTCAGACTTTTCTCTGTTATAGCAACACTGATTTTGATTCCGGGAAAAAAGGGGAGGGAGAAAACACAGCTTCATTCACATCTGCTGGAGGAGTACCCGCGTCTGGCTCTCAAGCATTTCCCCCTTTTTGGAGGTCGCGTATCTAATTCTGTTTTCCGAAATCTGTCCTCCGGGTTGCAGTGTGAAGCCCGTGTCTAGAAACCTCACAATTCACTGACAGCACGCCAGGCAACATGCAGGTAGATGAGGAACGTGTGTGTGGCAACTATAGGCTTTTTACACATGGGAACCTCACTCCACACACTTCAGCAACGAGAGAGCTCCTCCACGCTCATTTTGTGACTATTTTTTATTTTCTTGTTTTAAAAAACATTGAAGTGAAAGAAAAAAAAATATTTGTGTTTCTTGAATTGCTTCTTCTCTCTCTCTTCCTCTCTCTCTCTCAGCGTATTGCCGGGAACTCCACTACAGAATTTTGGAAGAAAAAAGGGAAAATAAACACGCCACAAATCACACACTAATCTCAAAAGTATGCGACGAAACTTCCGATCGAGTCGCTGCTGAGGAGATTTTTCCAATCTAATCTATTTTTCCTAAGCCAATCCCCACAGAAAGGTACACGGCGACGAAATCGGCGAGCGCGGGACACACACAAGTCAGACGAAGCGAGAGCGGAGAGCGTGCGTCCCTCCCCGTCGGACGCCAGAGAAGTACTGGCAGCGGGAGCGAATCGGGTTGTCGGGGTTTCGCGTCCCGTCGTCCGTCCGTCCGGCGAGCGAGCGAACGAAGGAATAGGGAAGTGGAGGAGGAGGAGGAGGAGGAGGAGGAGGAGAGGAGACTCAGAGGAGAAGAGAGAGAGAGAGAGAGAAACTCAGTGTGTGTGTGAGGGAGCGAGTCAGTCCAGGTTCAGTGAGTGCGCCTGCCACGGCCTCTCCCTTGCCTCTTGTCCGCCACCCGAACGTGCAGGCGAGAATCTGAACCGTGGCAGCTACTTCATGATCCTTTAAAAGTTTCTCTCGGAGTTTAACCTCCTCCCACCGAATGACGCGCGCAGGTGCTCATGGAGGTGTTGATTCTCTCTCTTTCTCTCTCCGCTTCTTCAGGCTCTCTCTCTCTCTTTCTCGCTCGCGCTCTGTCTCTCTCTCTCCTCTCCCTCGCTCCTCTATCTCTCGCTCTATCTATCCATATCTATCCATCCATCTCTCTCTCTCTCTCTCTCTCTCTCTCTCTCACACACACACACACACACACACACACACACACACACACACACACACACACCTTTCTATCTATCTACCTATCTATCTCTCCTTTCCTCCTTCCCTTCCCCCACCCCCTCCCCCCCTTCCCCCTTTCCCCCCACCCCCTCACCCCTTCCTCTACCCTCTCCCCCCCACCCTCCCAGCGTGTGTGTGTGTGTGTGTGTGTGTGTGTATAAACGAACCCGTCCATTAAAAAACCACCCACCAGCTCGACTCCAAATAAAAGAACATTTAGATCTAGCAGATCAGATTCCCTCACATCCGATGAATTGAAAGCCATTCCGCAAACGGATTCGTACCATTAGAATGAATATTGGCTCTTCAAATTCGTTTATCAGATTTTCCTCATCCGAAAGTTGAATAAATGAATAAATGAAAAGAGGGAACAGAGAGGTAGATAGATTTCTTTATTATTATCGTGTATCAGGTTTTCCTCATCCAAAAGTTGGATAAATGAATAAATGAAAACAAGGTAGAGAAAGGTTAGTAGATCTCTTTATTATCGTTTATCAGATTTTCCTCATCCAAAAGTGAATAAATGAATAAATGAAAACAGGGTACAGATAGGTAGATAGATCTCTTTATTATCATCGTTTATCAGATTTTCCTCATCCAAAAGGGAATAAAGGAATTAATGAAAACAGGGTACAGAGAAGTAGGTAGATCTCTTTATTATCATCGTTTATCAGATTTTCCTCATCCAAAAGTGAATAAATGAATAAACGAAAATATGACACAAGTACGCAGTGAGAGATCTATCTTTCCGTTTATCATATTCTAATTATCCAAAATCAATAAATTAATAAAAGGAAAATAGAATACAGTTAGGTAGAATTTTTTTTTTTCGTTTATCGGATTTTACTGAACTGAAATAACTGCATAAATGAAGATTGGGCGAAGCTATGATGTTAGATCTTGTACCGGAATGTCACAGAACGT